TCAGTCAAATCTAAGGGATTTGGGGGTATTTAAGATTTAGAACTTGGGTTTGGTTCAGGTCAAAGGAATGTTTCAGGGTGGAAGCGGGGGGTAAATCTGTGATGTAAAAAACCCTTTCTCAATCGTGTCGGGTGAAACGAGAAGAAGGGGTTTCTGCACAGTTGCGTCAAGTTGACAAAGATGTCTCTGTTCAAAGCAAAGTAATCCCCAAACAAAACACGTAAGTGTGCTCTCGGGCCGCGTGTTAAACCCTACAAAGCCCAAACCCTTCCAGCTCAGCTTACCTACAGTTATTTTATTGCCAAGATTGCTCGTGCACTGGGCTCAGACATATTTTTTTAGGACACAGGCTTATACAAGATACATGAATATGTTTTAATTGGACGACTTAAAGAGAAGAAAATGAAATCATTATTAAAAGGAAGAAGCTGTATAATTTTTTCACTTGGGTTATTTAAGTTACTGATGCAACGCTTTGATCACCCAGTTCACTTTTAAGCCGTTAATTACATCTCCACTACTTTATTGTAATGTTGTCCCCTGTCTCTTTCAGCTCCACCAGGTGCTAGTCCAACTACAGACAGGAGAGAAAGAACAGGATTTCTCCCTGCTGCCCATTCAGGTGTCCATTAGTGTGCAGCTATGGAGACTCCCAGGATGCCATGAATTTCTGGCTGCTCTTGGTTAGTCATCTATTATGTAAAAAAAAAAAAAAGTCCCTATCCTATTGTCTGCCATATGTCTATTTAAGTTACAGCTGTTGTCCTGTTTTGCATGTGCAGGGTTTGACTTATGTGAGGTAGGCCAAGAAGAAGTAGTACTGAAGACAGGCAAGCTAGCCAACCGCCGCACCTTGCACTTTGCTCTCCAGTCTCTGCTGGCACTCTTTGGTAAGTAAATGTATTTTTCTGCTTATGCACTTTCATTCTTTGCTGATTGTTGTTGAGCTCCTAACTTGATTCCCTGTACACTGGAATCTGAACTGTGCATTGGCACTTTTTAACAGCCCGTTTTTATCCTGTGTTTATCTCATGTCACATTTTTCATCATCTCTTTTCTTTTATGTTCAGACTCCACAGAACTGCCCAAGCGCTTGAGCCTGGACAGCTCATCCTCCCTTGAGTCCCTAGCTTCAGCCCAGTCTGTGTCAAACCCCCTGCCCATGGGATACTCAAGCCTTCCCTTCTCTCCTCCTTGCCTGGACAATCAAGCATCTGATGCCATTTCTGTTTATAGCCTTAGCTCTGTAGCCTCCTCTATGAGCTTTGCTTCCAAGTCAGACTGTGATTTCCTTGCTCATCGGCAGCGTGGTGGGGTCACGGCACACTACTCGGTCCACAAACACCCTCATGTTCCTCGCAGCCGCTCGTCTCCCCATGGAGCAGCTGCTGCAGTGGCGGGAGCCCGCGGAGATGAGGAGGAATATGAGGGCTTTTCCATTATCAGCAGTGAGCCCCTGGGAAGTCATTGTGACTCTCTGCCTTTGCCACCAGGCCACAGCCAGCGCCACCACCGGGGAGGCAGGGGTGTCGTCGGTGGCTCCAGCACAGGAACGGGGAGAGGGTACACTGTATCTGTATCATCGAGGGGCAGTGTCAGCACCCCAACATCTCCCGTCAAAACAAACCTGGTGCCCAGCCCAAACTCACCGTTTCAGAAAGTCGGTAAGGTGAGCAGCTCAGATACAGGAGAATCTGACCAGTCCAGTACTGAGACGGACAGCACTGTCAAGTCTCAGGAAGAAAAAACTGTCCCTCTAGATCCTCAGGAACTGGCCCAGAAGATTCTGGAAGAGACTCACAGCCATTTGCGTGCTGTGGGTAGTCTTCAGAGGGCTGGTGCAGAGGCCGGGACAGCTGGAGGAACCTCAGCACGGAGTAGCGCATTCCGCTCTTCTGAAACTAGTGCGTTCAGCCGTCCTAACAGCGGCGCTAGTGGTCGAGCTCAGTCTTCCCCAAGACCCAAACCTCCCTCCCGATCTTCTTCACTGCAGAAGATAAGCTCTGGCTACAATAGCCCTGCGGTCTCTGAGTCTTCCCAAAAGGAGGGCAGCCATCCTTCACCCACTTCAGACACTCACGCACAGTTCAAATTAAAGTACCCGAGCTCCCCGTACAGTGGCCACATCTCTCGTTCCCCGAGCAACGTGTCTCCCAGTTCTGGTCACCAGTCCCCTGCTGGTAGTGCTCCATCTCCTGCTCTTTCCTACTCCTCTACAGGCTCTGCCTGCTCTACATCAGCTGACACGGCGGATTTGGATCGACTAAGAAGAGGGGTCATTGATGAAAAAGTACAAGCTATCCACAATCTAAAGACCTTTTGGGCTAATGCTGCGGCCCAACAACAGCAACATCTAGGTCCCGTCAAAGCTGTCCACAGCACACCCGGTCCTCTCGCCTCTGCCAGCAGAGATGTACTAAGTCTTCTGAACCTCTCCCCGCGCCACTGCTCCCCTAACGACACCCAAGACAGCCTGGAGCTGCGGGAGCTGGGGCTGCAGTCACTGGATAGGGGTAGCAAGAACTCTTCCAATGGACATCACTGCTCCAACCCCAGAAAAGTGGCCCCATCACCTACTATTTCCACTAGCAGTAGCCCTGGTGCTCGTTCTATCCGACTACCTGCTGGCAATGGATACAAGTTCCTGTCACCTGGAAGATTTTTCCCTTCCTCTAAATGCTGAGACATTTAAAATGGTCCAATACTTTTACCTATCATTTACTATCCTGGGTGCTGGAGGGGTAGGGCACTTTTTGGGGACCGCCATTGGTCCATCAAGGTTGACTGACAGCGAGAAGGATTTCTTTGGTTGTGAGTTTGATTCTGCAGAGGCACATGAGTGCTTTAGAGAGCGTCTAGTCTTTGTGCCCATAACACTGTAAATGGCAATGAAAAAAACTCAACGACCTGATACTGTGTTTGTGTGTAACTGTGTGTCAGGTAGATGTTAATGCCATTTGGTATTTTTTCCCCCAAAAAACGTTGCTGTTCGTGTGGGCCAAGATGCAACAGCTATGACTGATTTCTTCCATTTTTTTTTTGTTTTTAAATTTAATGGTTATTGTTATTGTTTGTTATTGTTATTAATATAATAATTATTATTATGTTTTGTAAATTAATTCCAGTGTTTCACAATCAGTATTAAGCGTTTTTATATGATTAAAAAGTGAACAAACCTGTACCATGTAAAGATGGATAGAGTGGAGAAAAAGATTTAATATTTTTTATTGAAATCAAAAGGGCATTTTGCCTGATTTCTTTGTGAATTGAGTGTCTGCTCTGAAGCATGGATTCTCTTGCTATTCAGTGTTAAGTACCATGTATGACTTTTTAGCCCATGATTTTTTTAGATTAAACATGAAAGTTTCATGACAACCATCTGTCATTTATCAGTAAACTGTTTCAATAAAGCATCATGTTTGCTTTCTTGTATTCTTGACATTATTCTTTTGTGTGGCTTCATACATCTTGACCTTGACCTTATTCCAGTTCAAGTTGGGACGGCTGTCGCAAAAAGAGAAATGATTAGCATATCATTTAAATCTTATATTTACTTGAATATAATACAAATATAACATAGCTAAAGCTGAAAGTAATATGAACAGTATAATGAGAAAAATATTTGCCCTCTTTTTGTCACGTCAGATCCTCTGGAGTAGAGAGAGCAGACGCAAATACAGACTAAGGAGACGGAACTGGATTTAACGAAAAGCAAACAGTTTATTTTTGGCTGTACAAAAAAATTAAAAAGAAAGATGGACGGGGACTAAGCTTAAACTAACAATGCTAAACTGGAGGAAGGTATATACTAAACACTAGATACCTGGAATGTGAAAACCTGAAACATGGAAACCGAGATCAGAAACATGAGCTTAGATGAACAGATGATATAACGAGGGACAAAAGGAAACTCACACAATAAATACACAAAAGGATGATCAGGGAAGTCGAGGCAGCTGGACAACACAGGAGGAACAAATCAGATTGAACAAAGTGAACCCATTGGATGCAGGACAAGAGACTATCAAAATAGGACAGGAAACAACAGACGCAAGCTTGACACAGTGACTGGGGAGACACGAGTAAACACGGCGACAAAGAATGACTAAACACAGAAGAAGATTAGACACTGAGAGAGAACTAAGATTGCTAAGAACTGAAGGCTAACAGAAACAAACTTAAAACATGATGAAAGAATAACCATGAACCTAAGAATCGCAATGAATATTCAAAAGCAAATAGCATGATGTCCAGAACTAGAAAACACTGGGTCACAGACAGTGCCCTGACACTTTTTGCCCTTTACGGGGGTTTCTTTTTGTATGTTTGTCAAACTTCTATGGGGGTTTTTTTTGGTTTGTGTTTATGTTTTTGGAAAGCTAGTCCAGTTAAACTAGTCACACCCAGGTCTGGTTATTAACAGGGTATAGTAGCTTTTAAATGAAATTATCATTTAAATACTGCAGTTTATATTTACTTCTCTGTTAAATATTACAATTTGTTTGATGACCTGAAACAAATATGGTGCAACAAATATGGAAAAATATGTATGGACGGATGCACAAGACATGGGTAACTTGCACACCTAATCCTACACAGTATATATAGGTTTTGGGATAACATAAGCTACTATCCAGTCATCTTTTTCAGGGAATACCTTGCTTATTTCAGTAACAACAAAAGAAAATTACATTTCGGTTTCAGTGTTTGTGTCTTTGTACCGTCTTTAATTAAATATGGAGTAATTATTATTTACAGATTTAAATTAAATTATTCATATATTACATATTTAGTATATTTAGTATATTTATATATTTTTTACGCGTTCAAGTGTGGAATAACGGATTCTAAGTAATCCATCCTCAAATACAGTGGGTGGGTTTAAAGTCACCAAAGAGAGATTTCATTGGATGATGCCAATCGTTAGGCCCACCTCTCCGTCATTCCGCAAATCACCGCTGCAGAAGGAGGGACCTGCCGCCTCACTTAGTAGCCCATGACGTCAGTTAGTGGTAGCTGGGCAATACTGAGAGGAAGAAGTTAAGATGGTTCTCATCAAGGAGTAGTAAGTGCGGGGTTTCTGTTTAAACTGTACTTTTCTTATTATTTCTGAAAGCACTCTATAGGTTAGTATAGATCCGTGCACTCACGGCAGTTTTTTTCAGTCCCTGTGCGCTGATGCAAACTTTTCATCTTGTCTCGGGGTCAGCGTCAGGCACACGAGGGGAGGATGGGATTGGCCAAGAGCGTCTCTGGCCTACCGGCTTTGACAGCAGATTGTCATTCTCTGACAGCTGCTGGTTTCCTGTAGTTTCTCATATGTTATCGCCAAGCTGATGGCTTCTAAACGCTTCAATCTGCGGTTTTTGTTATGTGGTTTTAAAGCGCAGACATTTTCTTTTTCAAAGCCTCGAATTGGCACCCGAGTTGCTAACGCTAATTTAGCTAACTGCCTAACCTGAGGGGAAGTTAACTGGAAGCTGTAAGTTCTCGCTGTCTTTGTAGTATTGACTCAGAAACTGTCGGCGCCAGCTAATCACCCCAGCATAACACATTTTGATTACTTAACGAATTGGTAGTTTGTTCACTCCTGTCTGTTTCAAGCATCAATCATTTTGCATGTAGTAAAGACGAAGCTAGCAGCTGTTAGCCTTAGCCTTTTGGGTTTTGAAATTGCATAAAAGATTTCAGTTTCCATTTGTAAAACCGCTATCCTTGGGTTAGGCTGAATATGTAAGCAGGCTTCTTACTTCACATCTTACCAAATGAATTGGGTTCAAGGCAGGAAGACTGAACACTTAATCGTTTTTAGAGATAAAGAAAGTGAATATAAATGGGTAGATGGAGGATGTGAATGGGTCATGTTTTGCATCGCACGGGAATTCTGAAAATAAGGATTGACTTAGATTTGACTTATGTAAAAACCTTGTTACAACATTGTCTTATTCCTTAAATATAACACAGTATTGCTGCCAGCATGCACCTCAGCACTGTGGCGCCCTAATTCCATCAAAGTCCCTGTGTGGTAAGCAAAAAGAAGCACTGGAAGTCTGAATTGGCACTACCTGCACTATTGCATGTGGCCACTTACTGGCCTACAGGAGTGAAGGAAGACTGTTCCCGCATCCCTAACACCCCACAATCGCTCACTGCACTCAGGCTCACATGGTTTGATAAATTTGACATCTTCTGATGTTGCCTGCACATTTTGTTTGCTTCAAACTTAAACGTCACTAATTACAAGTCCTAGCAGCATTGAAACAAAACATCTGATGGTGGATGACATTTAGTTCAGCCTTGTTTGACCAGGGATGGTCTTTAATGGTTAGAAATCTTGAATAATAGATTCAGATCTGTTTTGTCTTCTTAACTAAACTGCTTCGGCTAAGCTCACTGTATTTCTGGCCCCACCTAACTCACATTATTAAAAAAAACAACAACAACAACAACAAAATAAACTTTCTGTAGTCCCATAAAGTTTTGTCTTAATTCAGCTCTAACTTTTTCAACCAGGTCTAGTAATAGGTTCCTCTCATCTTGCTGATGTCAGCAGTATGTCACTATGGGTGGTTCTAGAAGTATTTTTTCCTCAGGAAGAGTAACTTTGAGTGTCTTCCTGTTCCTGGCAGTGAGCAGGTCTCTGTGTGTCATCGTGGTTCTTCTGGTTTTGTAATCCGGAGTCCCTGTAGTTATGTTCTCATTGCTTCTTCTGGACTTTTCTGCATACTGTGTGACCTGACAGGCAATTGTCATGTTGCATTCATTGTGAATACAGACAATAATATAAGGCGTGAGTAAATGTGCATGCTGATTTGGCATGGTAATGAGTAATATTTAGAGACTGAACCTTTTTATAAATAATTTCAATAACAAAGGCTATACAGGCTTTACTGCCAAGATGTAGAGACATTTCAGGCTCCAGAGTCAGTTTTATTGTTTTAGGATGTATTATCACTGTATTATTTATGCCACATGCATCTGCAGTGTTTTCTTTTTTTTTTGTCCTATTGTGTGTATGTGCTCTAACTCACTCTTAAAAATACAAATGTCGGCATACGTCTAGAAGAATACTCCTTCTCATATATGGGTCGCTGCTTTAGATTGATGTGGAATGATAGTTTATCTCATGAAATTGTCTAATATGAAACAGCGGATTTGAGAAATGCGTGCTTCATGAAAGTTACTCATCATATGTTTCTCTCTTTTGCAGCCGTGTGGTTTTACCCTGTAGTGTCGAAGAGGTGAGTAAGTGGCTTAATAGCTTGTTATGCTATTAAGATGTTGTAAATGATTAACTTTTTGTCAAGTCTGCTTATATTTTCTTTGTTGATGCCGTTGACACATAATCATGTTGACAATAACAAAATGATGACATTAACAGCCATAAAAAGTTACAATAAATTAATAATAACTAAATAAGGAAAAAGTCATAATAATGTTAAAGGATATGAAATGCACTTCTTCATACTTACAAATATGTAGTTTCTTTTCTATAGTGCCTGTACTGTTTGTGTGGTTGTAAACGAGCCCATATTGATGCTGGAAAAAAAGTCCATCCTCTGTTAGTCTGACTGTTTAAACTGAGTCAACCCTCAGTTCCTTTTTTGGGCTTTAATGTGTCACTGTGGCGTGGCAAAAAGGAAATGTTGCAAGTCTCTGACATGTGCCTTTTGTTTAAGACAGTTCTTTTCCACTCACTGATAATAAAGACATGGCAGTGTTGTATCATTTCTGTTGTTTTGGCTGCTGGCTGCTAAAACCAAGAAAAAGCTTAATTTTGCAGATGTTGTTTGTTTGAACCAGCAATCGTTCTCTGTGTTTAGAGACATTTCTGTAATAAATCCCAGACTTTCAGCCAGCTGCTGGGATGCAATCTCTTGGCAATTAGTGCTGCATATCCAAATTCAAAATATTTGAAAAGTAATTCTTGTCTTTGTGGAAGAAATGTTAACAAGAGTTATGGTAGCTGATTATTAGTCATTCTCTTCTTCTGCTGTTTGATGTTCAAACATCATAAGTAAGTTAATTTAGCTTTAAGATGGTGGAATTGGGGAACACAGCAGCAGAACTGAAAAAGCTGGCTTAAACATTTAGCTCTTCAGCAAGTTTTCTCTGCACGTTATAGAAATCTAACCTACGCTAGAGTGGCAGCAGGACAATAATAGAGCTTAAGAATTTTATGGTTACTTTTTTTTTGCACAGTTTTACAAAACAGGTCATGGGTTGAGTTCTGTTCCTACAATTTCACTGTATGGGACAGACAGAGAGAAATGAATGAATTAAAAAAATGTTATCCATATAAAATATTTGATTTACTTTTCTGACAGTTTTGGATTTCCTGTGTTGTAAAATGTTGAGAAGAGAAAAAATTGGTTTGTGATTTAGATGTATGTCACAGTAAAAAGTAGTTAAATCTACTGTCTAGCATCATTTTTTTTATATTATGATGTTTGTCTTGCAGTATCAAGTGGGGCAGCTGTTTTCTGTGGCTGAAGCGAGTAAAAATGAGACGGGTGGTGGTGAGGGCATTGAGGTACTCAAGAATGAGCCATATGAAAAAGATGGAGAAAAAGGACAGTACACACACAAAATTTACCACCTAAAGAGGTATGTGCTTTCCTTTGTATTTCTTCTTTTTTAGAACATTGATTCTTTCTTATAGTGTAATAGTGCAGTGCTACCAGGCAGTGTCAGTGTTGTCTTATCTGTGAAGCACTTTCAGTTCATTTGCTAACTGTGCAATCTTTGCTGTAGAAAAAATAGGTGATAAGTCTTCCTCCTTCCTTTCTTTTACCTGTACCTCCTACCCTCCACCACACCCTACAGTAAAGTCCCAGGATTTGTGAGACTCCTAGCTCCTGAAGGTGCCCTGATTTTCCATGAAAAGGCTTGGAATGCCTACCCCTACTGCAGAACCAGTGAGTCCCCTTCCCAGCACCACTTAGTTTAGGTTTGCCTTGAAACTCTTCTTCTCACTTTTAAATTAAGTTCATGTCTTGTCTTTCTTCCCCCCTTTTTTTCCTTCATGCCTAACCTGGAACAGTTGTGACGGTATGTAACCCTAAATGGGTTTTATTAGCTAAACTTAAAGTTAATAAGAAAAAAAATTACATAATTTTTTTCTTCATTATGTTTCTTCTTTCTCTTTATTCTAGAATGAATATATGAAAGATAATTTCTTCATTAAAATTGAGACATGGCACAAACCAGACCTTGGAACGCAAGAAAATGTGAGGACATCAAAGCAAACGGATGTCTAGTATGAATCATGAGTTTTATTTTCTAACATATCTTTTTGTATCTGCTCAGGTGCACAAACTAGACAGTTCCACGTGGAAGAATGTAACGGTGGTGCCCATTGACATTGCAGACAGAAATCAAGTGGCCCACGCTGTAAGTAGCTTCATACACAGTATGGCGCCTTCATGTGGACAACTTTGATTATTACAGTTCTTTGTCATGAGAATGTTTCGTAAGCAGGTGTTTTATGGCTCTGTTTATGATTTAATTTGAATATATATGTGTTTTCCAGGGAGAGAGAAAAACGACATCTAGCCTTTCCTATGTAATAGGGATGCAGATGAATAACACTGATGAAATGAAACAGCACTTTCTTTCTATTCTCGTCTAACCAATTTATTGAATTGCATATATATCTGAAAGTAGCTGAAAGAGCATTTTGTTACTACTGAGCAGTCTGTGTGACTTATGACTTACTGCATGTTTCTCTGGTGTGATATTACTGCAGTCCAATTTAAAATCCAGAATAAACGGTGTTTGTGCGATCCTTTCTCTTGCCTATATAGCACTCTCAAACTGTTAGAGTCAGAGTTTAATTCATGAAAACAATACAGACGAGCTAACTGACACATGGTCGTTTCATCTGTGGAGTTTCAGGGAACAATCTTTTGGCTAAATCGGTTTAGTTTATGTAGTAAAGATTTGCTCTTGGTTTGGTCAGAAATCACGCCGTCCATATAAATCACATGTTGTCACAGCATGTGGTTTCTCTGCTCAACTTTGTCTTGCTCTTAAGCATTGATTATTCTCAGCTACGGACACAGACAGCCAAAGTCCTGACAGCCAAGTAGTCATTCTTTGAAGTCTGCCACTTGGGGTGTACTTGTAGTTGGTGCATTGTAGTGTAAATCCACAGCGGACAGGAAAAACTGGCAGATATGCAGACACTGTGCTCTGTCTCATAAACAACTGATCACTAGGACCTGAGTGGACTCTAGTGGACTCACAAGATGTGATCAAGGCTTTAACACAAGCAGAGCTGTGTGCATCTGTTTTTCTGTTTTTGTTTTTTTTCAGTTAATATAAACTGGTAACCAACCGGATGTCCTAGTTAAAGAAGAAGTAGCACTTAATGTGTCTGTGCATATTCACTGACTATTACTACAGTTTCAGGGAGGCTAATAAAATATTTTGAAAATTATAATGACTGTTAGACAGATTAGAATTCAGTATCTTCTAGCTCCTGCTAAGCTGTTTATTCACAATGATTTTTTTTCTTCTACTTTTTTGCTGGGCTTTAGCTTTAGTTTTAGTTTCCAAAGTGTGTTTCTCGTTTCAATTTTGTTTTTATTGTTTGAAAATGTGTGTAGTTTATATTAATTTCACTTTTAGTTTTAGGTTTTTTTTTAAATTATTATTGTTTGGCAGGCATATGTCAGGAATAGGTTTGGCAAAATCATTACAGATTTTACAGTTAAAACAAAAAACTTGTTGAAAGTACTTGACTTAGTCTTGTAGACATCCAGAATCACTATAAACGCGTCTATCAAAGCGTATTGTAGTCATACAATATCCTCAGTTTTAGTTAATAAAAATAAGGATATTGTGTCTATATATTTTTTAGTTTTCCAGGTTCACAAACAGTGCTTATCCATCCTTTTTTTTCCTTCTTCTTCCCTCCTAAAAATTGCTTCAGGGCCATGGTGCTAACACAGAGCCACAGACAATCATTTACATTTAGACCTACGACTAGTTTAGAGTCACTTTACTTAATGTGTATGTTGATGTTTTGTGTGTCTGTGAGGAAAAAACTATTCGCAGATATCTCAGATTTGTAACTCACCAAGTCATATGTCAGCCAGGCACCACTTTAAAAAGCACGAGAGAGACTGGAGCACATTTTTTAGTACTTAACTCAACATTTGGATTTTATTTACAGGCTGTCATGAGCTTCAAAACAGTTGTGTATGTTGTTCTTACAGCAACATACTTGATTTTTCAGGTGTGATTATTCATTCATGGAGCTGAAAAAGCTGCCTGTGCTCGTGGCATCGACGATAAGTAGAGCATTGCAAGTGAAGAGAATCTTTGGCAATCTTCATAAACCTTTAGTCAATCCTGACCCATTTTATAAATATTTTACTGAAGTTGGCATCAGGTCCAGCCCATCTCCTTGGTATTTTTTATTTTGGTTTGGTTTGTCTGTGAGTTTTTCCCCAGTCTCTCTTTGTATTTTCTTTATAAAGACACAGAACATTAATTGCTCTCTGGGCTGTCGTGTACTTGGCTGACTGTTCTGCTTTATTGGGCTATGTTACTTCTTAGTTTTGTTTTGTTTACTTGTGTTTTTTGTGGTCTGTTTCTTTGCACCGTTTGAAAATGTGTTTGCTGTGCTGTAATAACACAGTGCATTAAAAATAGTTGATTTCAAGAGTGTGTCCCAATACAGCCAGCTGACTGGAGAGATCTTTGTATTTAAAAATGTACACATACCAGTTGAGGATAAATTAAAGATTTGAATACTGCTTGGAATCTCTGAAATCATATTTGAAGATGTTGCAGGTTATTGCTCTTATTTGACATCACATTGCCTCATTTCAATGTGACTGCCGGTATGCGTGCAAGCATACATGTGGCTATTTGGCCGAGAAGCCCTAGTTTCTGTGTGTGTACATGTTTGTTTGCGGTGGGTAGTTAACGAGGCGGACGTGTTTGCCTTGCTGGAGGAGTGTGTTGTGTCTGAGGGCCCTATCAGCCCTCAGCCTCGGGCATGACTGCAGGCTCTGGGGCGTACCGCCAGCACAGATGAGTTTGTTAGTGTAATTAAGGTTCACAGTGCTGCGTGTGCCGGAACTAGACAAACACACACTCGACGTAAACACACTTGCAGTCTAATACACACTCTTTTAGAAATGGCTTCTTTTCGCGTACCACGGCACATCGATTCACAGACCTCATTAGTGCAGCACAGTGTATTGTTATAGTGATGGAGCTCTCAGCATTAAAACACCCAAATTAGAGAGAAAGTGTGGGCTTGTGTGTGTGTGTGTGTGTGTGTGTGTGTTTTTTAGTGGTGTGTTTTTATTTCTTTCCACACGTTTGGCACCCTCCTGTTGGATAGTAGCCCTGAAAAAGTAGCTTTTAGCTTCAGGCGCATCATGATTTATTTAAAATTGCTGGGCCCTTGAGCTGTTGATAATTTTAAAGCCATTTCATTTATTTGTATTATTATTTCTCGTCTTTTTTTTATTTATTTATTTTTTTTTACATGAGAAAGTCAGGTCTGTTAAGTTTTTCGTGCTCGTCACGTGTGCTCAGTATCCCTCTACATTTTACTATACCCTTTAATACAAAAAGATCTTGGTGCATTGGGGGGAAAAATTAAAGGGCAAAAGTGCTTAGTTCACCAGAATATGTTGGCAGGACATGACCTTTTGAATTGGATACTGTATATGGGGTAAAAGGTTCTTTTGCAGTTGGAGCTGCAGACATACAAACTTAAATAAGCAGCACAAATCCTCATCAGCACACAACAGGTAGATGCAAGTACATTCACTTATATTAACTGGCATCCTCACCCTAATTAAACAAGCGTCAGAGCCCCCATACACAGATCGGTCTTATCTTCAAGCCACTTGTGAGCACAGCTGTGTTCTAGTCCTGCTTTGTGACATTATCTGCAGAGATGGAAGGATTTGTGAAAAGGGAGAAGCCCTCTTCTGACTTTTCTTGTAGCTAAGCTGTTTCTGCTCTTTGTTCCCTTACTCTCGTCGTTGAATAGTTGTCCCACATTTCCATCTTTTCATTTAAAAACGGTGTCTATGTTTTTGTTTTTTTTAAATTGGGGTAAAATCCTGCAGATTTCTTGGCTCTTGTTGCAAGATGAAACAAATACCAGTATTCATAAATAAGCTTGCCTCAGCTTTGTTAAATATTCTGTGCTATATATTCTACTAATGAAAGTAACTGAAAGTTTCATTGTAGGACTACAAGGAAGATGAGGATCCTGCCATTTTCAAGTCTGTCAAGACTGGGAGAGGACCTCTTGGTCCCAACTGGAAGGTAATGCTGTTGTAAACTACATATATTTTAAACTGAAAATGGTCTACATCCATGTGACTGTTTCAGCACCAGTTCAGAAATAATCATTTGATAAAATACAGACTTCAACTGCACAGTGGCTGCTTACATAGACAATAAGGGCTTCAGTGTGTGAATAAATTATTGCTGGTTGAGGCTGATTTCTTTGACTTTCTTCTGACAAAGGATCACATGTTTGGGTGGTATAAATCCAAGGTAGCATGTAGTTACCAATCAAACTCAATTAGGCGATGAATGCTAATATCTGTGTCAACTATTTCAGCCCTCTTGGGGTTGGCAGTTTTGACAAAAGTTTCCTCTCTGGGAGCCAGGCAAATTAGTGTGGATGCTCAATGTAAATACAGCAGAAGTGGATTTTTCTTTCTTTCTCGCTTTCGTTTTTTAAAATGAAACGCGATGCATCTAAGAGTTTTGAACACGGCCTTAGGCCACAGGGTGCTTTAAAAAAAAAACAACAACAACAACAACGGAGGCAAACATTTGACCCATTTGCCAAGTTATAGGAAAATGGGTATATATCTGGCCATCAAGACCTGGATTAGTAGTCTTGCTCTCATGGATTTTGCTTCTATATTTCATGACTTTGTACAGTCATGTGCATTGTATGTAGTTGCTGCAATGTTTTGATCTCCAAAGTCTAAGTGCAGCTTGGACATGTTGTGTCAGCCAAAGATTGTGTTTTGTGTGGATGTCCCTGCAGCAGGTTTATATAGCAGGTTTATGTGATGAGATCTAGGCATTAAAAGTCTTTTACAGGTAACTTACAGAGCTGCAAGAACACTCAGGCTTCGTCCACAGCTGGAAGTAAAGTGTCCGTTTGTGGACTCAGAGTCTAAATTGGCAAACAGCAGTTCTGTATAAAGAGGGACATATTTTGATAAGGGGTAAAAAGTCAATAAGTAGCTCATCCACAGAGAAACTTTGTCAGTAGTTATGTTGCTTTCGCCTGTAAACCCCGCCGTACCCCGGGGCCACACGACCGGGTCCTGTTCGCTGTTGGAGCACAGAGGATTTCTATTCTGCAGTGGAGCCCTCAAAGTTCACCATGGGAAACTTTCCTCTGCTTCAAGAATTTTTGCAGAACAAAGGCAGCCAAACAGCTTTAAAAAGTATGAATAAAGAAGCACAACTTTTATTTTGTGTTTTTAATTAGATCACTTTCCCGTCCGCTGTGGACATGGAAAAAGACTGTTTTTGAAAAGGTGGGGGGAGAAAGTAGTTATGTGACAACAGAGGCACAATTTCTGCCAGCTTCTCAGAGCAATAAAACTCTTGTCTATCTCTGCATGCACACATGCTTGCATATCGGTACCCTTTGTATTTCTGAAAACTTCTGCTCCTTTGAGTGGGGCACAGAGAGGGAGAGAAGAAATGTCACCGTAAGTGTTTTGATGTAGAATCCGTTTCATGTGAAGTTCTCCTTTAGCGATGACAACTTTTCTAAACCCACTGCAAATTTAGAAATGTTTCTCATTTCCCTTCTCTCACGCTTCTCCATGATCGTAGCATCAAACGGCAGTGGGATGAGGGCGATTGAGGCGGGTCTGTGGCATTTTCTTTTTGGAATGCCGAGCCAGAATGAAGTGATTAATTAAACAGGTGTTCTCAGAGGGAGAGTGTGTGTGTTCTGGGGGCGAGCAGGTCCTAGGTGTTAATAATGTAACCGGCTTTGCACTGCGGCGCCCTTATCGCTTCGTGAGCACCGTTTTATCTGCCTTCTGTGGCCACAAAGACATGCCTGTCGGGAACGGTGTCGCTGTCAGGGTGGAGGCAGAGAAATGGTCCCTTCATCTGGAGTTTATCCACTTTGCTGTGGTCCCCCCTCCCAACACCCAGCCTCTTTTCTTCTTCTCTTCTTCAGAGCGTGCGGCAGAGTGCAAGCAGCGGATAGATTTAGAAAGTGTGCTGTAGATTAGGGCACTTTTATCTGTGCACAGCACATCTTCATGTTGATAATTATTTCAGCAACCTTCATGCCCAAAGCATTATGCATTAATGAACGAATCTTAGATTTGTCAAAAATAATGCCTTCTGCTGCTTTTACAACTGTTCTCTTATTGGAAAGTTTCTGTCAAGTTTTTGCAGCGCGTTATTCTGATATAGTGACGGGTTGTAAGTCGGATTCTTTTCCCTGTTCCTCTCAACAGAAAGAGCTGAATAGTAATCCTGAATACCCAAGGATGTGTGCCTACAAATTAGTCACAGTCAAGTTCAAGTGGTGGGGCCTGCAGACCAAAGTGGAGAACTTCATCCACGAGGTTAGTGACATATTTGGGATTAGGATTCAACTTTATTGGCATTACACATGTATAAATACAGGATAACGAAATATAGTAGAAGACGGAAAAACTCATTTACACAGTTGGCTCATGAGTTATATTTAGAGAGTATTGCAAGTTTGCGCTTGCAATACTGTGCCTCTTCTGTCTGGGTGGGCAGTGCTTGATTAGTGCTTAATTATTATAAGCAAGCTGTAACTGCAAACATGATGAGGTAATGTTTGGGGGCTCTATAGTCAAATGGAACTTAAGCCAGTAGGATACAATAGAGTAATTTGTATTTAGAGTTTCTCAAGTTTCAAATGTACTTATAAACACTCGACTGTTGCTAAATATCACCCAGTCCTAACCAAGCCTGCTGCTATCTACCACAGCAAGAGAAGAGGATCTTCACAAACTTCCATCGCCAGCTCTTCTGTTGGATTGATAAGTGGGTGGAGCTAAATATGGATGATATACGGCGTATGGAGGCGGAAACGCAGAGAGAACTGGATGAGGTGAGTGTATAAGTAGAAAATCACAGTTAAAATTTAACTTTAAGTCTGGTAAGTGATGGATTTGGTGCAAGAGAAAATAAAACTTTCCCAACCCTAAGCACTTTCTTTGGTTAAATTTCTCTTATTCGCTGTGCAAAATCCATATAACACAAATTTTAGTTATCTAGCTGTTGTCTTCCATTCACTAGAAGTAGAGTGTGCTAATGTGATAAAGCCGGAGGACTGCTGGAGTAAATGTAGTGGCTTAAGGGCTCCCTGTGGAGTCTTTGACCCTTAGTGGTGCGATCTAGCTGACTTTCTTTGAGTGGATCCTGGTGTTATTTACCGAGTGCACAAGTAAAAGGCCCTTTTATTAATATATGTGAATTCAAAACCTCATAGTTTTTAGTGTTTTGTTTTTTTAAAATCAATATTTTCAATATCAATAATATTACATTTAAGATCAATCGCCATATTTTTTCCTTTTCATGTATGCATTTTGTTTGTTACTAAACATCCTTAAACTGTTTGGTAATCAGCACAAAACGGATGACTGTGAGCACAGTGTTTGTTCTTCCTCATAATCCCATTTCTATGATTGCCTTTATTGTATTTTTATCCAGAGGCGTAAGAATGGTTCTGTACAAAGGCTACAGAGGAGTAGCAAGGCCAAGTGTAGGTCTTTGTACTGCTGTTTGTTGTTACTGGTAGGGCAGCATCTTAATGGGGTTTCTGTTAGCCTGGCAAGGCTGTGCCGCATCGTGCCATATAGCTAATTATGATCCGAAACATTTCCACTGTCATCTGTAGGCCGCCTGTGTTCCAGTGTATCCCATGGCTAGTGCATGATGGTCTCGCCTCAGCTTGTGATGTGTAACAATGTCTGCCAAGTGCAGGGTATTTTTATCCCCCAACCGTAACTCTGCATGAGTCTCTATAGTTGGGGGATTAGTTTACGTTCTGTGTCCATGTTTGCACACTTCAGCATCCATCCATCCATCCATTCGCTTCCGCTTATCCTTTTCAGGGTCGCGGGGGGCGCTGGAGCCTATCCCAGCTGTCATAGGGCGAGAGGCGGGGTACACCCTGGACAGGTCGCCAGTCTGTCGCAGGGCCAACACACAGGGACAGACAACCATTCGCACTCACATTCACTCGCACATTCACACCTAGTGGTAATTTGGATTATCCAATTAACCTATCCCCACAAGTTGCATGTCTTTGGACGGTGGGAGGAAGCCGGAGTACCCGGAGGGAACCCACGCAAACACGGGGAGAACATGCAAACTCCACACAGAAAGACCCCGGCCTGATGGTGGAATTGAACTCAGGACCTTCTTGCTGTGCGGCAACAGTGCTAACCACCGTGCTGCCCTTCAGCATCATTTTCTTTATTTTTCTAACAATCAATCACTAAGTTGGAGTAGTTTATATAACCTAACCATTCGTATTATTATTCCATCCTTCTGTCCATTTTAATGGCTCATCCAGTTCAGGGTTGACCTTCACAGTAAACAGTGTCTGCTTGCAGGAACCTTTTATGTGTGAAAAGTCTTAATATATTGTCTCATGTTTTAAGTTGACAGAGCTTCGGTAGATGCTCACTTTAGACGACTTTAGTTTTTCTGTGCGGTGCAGTGGAGCGAGCCAGCACGGCTTGGCTGATTGCAGCTGTTCATGGCATGGTGCGACTTCACTTTGTGCTCTTCGGTGTTGAGAAAGGGCTTTACTCCACTGTGCTTGTGCTTGTGTGTGCACATACCATTTCACATTCGAGGTCCAAAAGCAGTCATCTAAGAGGAAACACTGGTGAAAAGCATCCATTTCTTCACCACAAAAACATCTTCAGTTGCATTTTTGTAATGTTTCTCTTTGTGCTATTTGAACACAGGATAACAGTGTTTGACTGAGTCTCAGCAGTACAGATGTGTTTTTTTAAGTGTTCATCCTGCTACTTCTGTCAGTAATCACATTATTAGTAAATACCCAGTGACCCAGTTCTGCTGGCAACCACAGAAGCCCATGCCATAACACTGCCTCCACCATGTCTGACAAATGATTTGCTAATCTTAGTCTTATTCCTTCTTCGTACTACGTACTGTCTATATTCATGTTAATAAAGGCATTTTTTGATTATAGGCTTCGACAGTGGTGTGCCAACCTCCTCAAGAGTGCTCCTCAGGTAGCTAGATGTTGTGAACAGGCTTTTTCTTTAAAAATTCCCCCATTTTTAGTTGTCTTCTGTGGTATTTCAGGCCGTTTAGGGTTACTGAGCTGCCACTGCTTTTGTTCATTTTAAGAAGGAGCTATAATGTTCGATTTGATAGCTCACATGCAATAAAACCTACTTTTATTGCAAATTGAGAGCTCCTATGAAAGGCTAGCATACAAGTTTAACACAAGTAGTTATATATGTACACAGAAGTTCCTGCAGTCCAGTTAATCCCCATAGAAAAATAGTCTACTTCTAAATCACAGGCTTCAGTTTCTGCGTCTTGCATTCACTCTAAACCTCTCCACTGCCTTGCTCTTGAAACTTCTCCAAATATCAGTCTGGGAGCTTTTGGCCGTACAAGGAGAACAAGGGAGGAATCTGGGCTGGACCGGCCAAAGTGGGCCAGTCTCAAACATTCCTGGCTCGCTACCAGCATGCAGAATTTTTGCGCTTTGCCTTCTCACATCTCGCCCAGCTGAGCATGTGTTTCCAGTTTTCCCTCGGAGTAAGTAAACAGGTTGGTACAATCAAAGACGGCTGCGGCAAGCAGGGCAACAAGCCTGAACCTCAAAGCTCAAGGGTTACCAGGGTCACATTTGGGTGGTGGTGAGAACAGCCTACACACAAGTCACTGCCCTTCACGTTCTAGACAAACACAGCACTGGGTGAATGGAAAAACCTAGCATTAAGGAAGCTGTATACTAATAGTCATATCTGAACTCTTTAAGTATAGTGGTTGGGTGCTGATGGTGTGGAAGGAGGAGGTATGCGAGGACGGGGTGTGTACGAGGGGGTTTCAAGATGGCTCCTTTTTCCTCATTAACATACAAATGGAATTCTGCAGTTGAGAAGGAGTCTGTGCTGTGATTGAGGAGAAAGGGAGGGAGGATTGGGGGGTGAAAAGATGGAGAAGTGGGAGGGTGAATCCTCGTGCCATTTCATCAGATCTGTCTATTCCTCTGTTTAGAGCCAGTGTTGGTTTGAACTGTTCCATTAAGGTGTTCGGCTATCAGATTCTAACACTAATTGACTTTCCAAAGCCATCAGCCTCAGGGTGGGAGAATTTGAAAGTGATGCTTTTATCTACCTAGAAGACAAACAGGAGGCTTGATAAGGACTTTTGGAGCTGCCCTTTTTCCAGTTTACAAAAAGAAATGTAATGTATTTTTACTGGTTTGCAAAGCCAAAAGTAAGATTTAATGAATAGAAAGAAGTCCGACCCCTCCCAGTAACCAGCGACTCCTGAAGCCGTCATCTGAACTCTCCCTTACGTGTTTAGCTTGCATAAATCTAACGCGTGTTATTTCTCTCCCTTTCCCCACAGCTTCGCAAAAAGGGTGATGTGCGAGGAACCAGCGCTGCGGATGAATGAAAAGGATTTTAAACACCACACCCACAATGACAGCAGTTGTGAAGACTGCTAAGCGGGCTCCTTTGGTGCCACTTTTTTACCCTAACTGAATCACGCTGTGGAGGAGGGAGCGCTGCTACCTGCAATCAATAGAGCAGATCCCCGGCTTTAACCCAATCATAGTCACTCTATCCAGTGAGGAATTGATTTATAGCCACCGATACGATGCTGGCTGATGAGACTCAGGTTAATTTTGATCTTGGACAGAGAAAGGCCGGCTATGGCCATCAGGATATTGAGACCTAGTCTTCTGCAGAGATGCAAAGAAAATCTATTTACTTTTTAAAGAGAAAAACAAAAGCAAATTCATCAGCTTGATTCCACAGTGGCAGGTGTTGGACCAAATATTTCCAGCTCCCCCAACCTCCTGTTTTTTCCCTACCAAAAACCCCCCATTCCTCACAGAATGATGCCCTCTGTGACCTCTCTTTGTCTCTTCCCCAGTCTTCACTGTACACACTGTGGCTCAGTGTGTGGTTTGCATTCCCTGGCAGGAGACTGTTTGTCATGCTCTTGTTCCTTCCTGCCATAACCTCCATTAAGTGATTACTAACAGCCTTGGCGTCTTGGCCCGTTGTAATCCTTCTTCCATCACCCCCCTCACCTTATCGAAGCACTGCATCTTATTAACACTGACAATCATGTCTGTACAGGTATTCACTCTCACTCCCACATGCAAAGGTAACAGGAAGCCCACACACGCACACATTCATATGACACATGCAGTGTGCAGAGAGGATAAACATGTGAATTCATTCTTACCCATACACACTCACACACACACTCACTCACAGGTGTGGATACCTTTGTGCTGACTGATCTTTGAGAAACTCAAGCAGGGGCAGATCCTCGCGAGCTCTTTTAGCTAAAGGATGTTACTTTGAATATGTTTACAACTCTCACCCCCACCCTATACTGAAAACAGTCGCACATAACATACATTGCAGCATTCACCTCTCTAAAAGATGTCCCTAGAGGAAAAGAAACTGCACTGAAAAACAGCCACAGATGGTGCTACACCCCTCCAGCCTCTGTCACAAGCCAAACTGTGCTGCACTCACCCAACCCACCACCAGAGGCCTTTCTCGCTCCTCCGGCTCTCTGAGGTAGACAGTTTCCAGAAGGCCTCCTCCTCCTCTGCATCATTCTAGCTGTGTTTACAGATTTGCAATTGCCTTATCAGTGCCTAGTGGATACCAGTACCATGTAGAGTTGCTTATGTGTCCAGGCCTTTACACCTATCAGAGCTACTACACTTAATGAACCTCTGCTGCCAGCCATTGTTTTAGCTACCTCTCTCATTTCTGACTGGCCATTTTTCCTGATGCCCTAAAGTGTGTCCACCAAATGTTTTGGAAAATGTCAGGCACCCAGTTGAACCCTTAAGAGGCACATAGGTTTGGGTTCTTTTTTGTTTCGTTCTGTTTTTCCCATGTGAGAGGATCTATTAGTATGCCACACAATATTTTATGTCAAAGCGGTTCAAATACACGACTGTGCCTGGTAGCCGGTTTACAAATAAAATGTTCCTCCAAGCACTGTTTTTATATCAATACTGTGGTTGTCTGGTTGTCATCTGTAGATATGCTCTTACAGCTCTAAACAACTTATATAAAGTTGAGCACAGAAAAGAAGCTCCGTGCCACTTCAAGCTGCTGTCGTTTTATTTTTTGCGTAGCGTAAATACACGACACACTCGTGCTCAGGAAAAACACTTTGGTGGACACACACCTCGTAAGGGTTAGCATTAGCTGTTAGCTGGTACTTCTTAGGATTCTTGATTCTAGTCTTGACAAAAGAGCTTTATCAGGGCGCAGACTTGTATGTTATTCTTTTGTTTCCTGGTATGTGGAAGTGCAATTCCTTTCCATTCCCGCAAGCAGAACTTTGTTACTTTAACAGCCAGCGTGCACCGTTTGTCATGTAAATCTTTACCTCAGACCAGCCATTGGAAAGAGCTGCCATATTAATGTTTTCTGGCTTTTCAGCTCTGCATCCAGCTCTCTCTCTCTTTTCTTTTTTCTTCAGGCTTCAGAATTGTGTCACATCAGCCTTGAATATTAATTATGCTTGTGTTACATGTATACAGTATGTGTGGTTTGCTCATGTGTTCCCTTGTAATGTTCTTGAATATTTGTTTGTTTTGGTTGCGTGTCACTGTTTTAAATTGCCCAACATAAATTTGGGATTTGTGTTTAGTAATCGGTTTCCCGTTATTTCTCAAGGCAGATTATATGATTAAATACTTTCAGGAAAGTATTCTAGTGTGTTTGGTTAATGACAATCCTGTGAGGGCAAATCTGACCATGTCCACGGTAATTGGCTTTTCCAAAGAGAATAAATGGTGTTTGTGTGTTCAGCAAATATTGATTTAATATAGGAAAATTTGGAAAACTTTTGTCAGAAGCATTGGTTTTCAATAACAGAATCTTCTCAGGCTAACAATAAGACAAAGATTTGAGGCTGCAAAGATAATGTAGCCTGTTCGCTTTTATCGTCTTTATGTGTTAGAGCCACCTTTGTCTTTGTTACGGTCATGAATGCATAGGTCTCTGAGCAAACAGTGTAATTAGTGTTTCAAAGTTCATTTGAATGATTCCTCATGTGTGTATGAATAAAAAAAACTAAAAACAAGAACCCAGTGGAGAGAGGGAAAAGGAAAAATCTTAAATCAGTCGTTTGCTATTCTTCAAAACAATGATGTTAACAAAAGTGTTTAAAGGTTCTGATCAGCTTTTAAAAATCAGGGGTTGTGGTAACGAATGTATGATGTATTGTGCCTTTTTCTTTTTGCACATCTTTTTTGTGCTACTAAGTCTATATATTGTATCTAAATATAAATAAATTTCCTTTTTTTTTCTTCTTTTTTTGACAAAGTTTCCTGCAGTTCAGTTTGTGCTGTTTTTGTCTGATTCCTAGAAAATAAAGGTTTTACCTGAGGGGGATTTGATCAGTCCTCAGGGCAAAGGAGAGAGCTGTCATTTATTTGTAAAGCTTTAAATGGTCACAGTCTTTGCTAAAATACTATAAAAGATTTATTATTTATTTATTTATTTGTGCTATATGTTATTCTTTCTTTCATTTTGGCTCTTTGAATAACAGTTCTGTACTGTAGATTACTGATAAGACAAAAATGTCCTACAGATTTTGGTGACTCCAGCGTGGACCGCGCTCTCTACGACCTGCAGGTCAGGAGAGTCGCACAATAAACAGCGGAATCTGTGCTAAAGAGCAGGAAAAGCCACCAGTCTGCTGCCTGAGATAGCTGCCCTTTTTTTTTTTTTTATTGTTTGTGGAGGAATAGTCACATGTGCCTGCTGCAAGGAAACCAGCTATATCTGCTACAGAACAAGCAAATAATGCTGTTTCTAAAAGGGGAGATGGGCAGACTCGCCCACACACCTCCTGTTAAGTGGCAGCTCACAGTAGTCTACTGTAGGCATGCATCCATCCGTCCATGTGTCTCCCTCCCGAGGAAGATGAAGGGACATGTCATGAGTGAGCCCCTGTCGTTTAAATAGATACTGCAACAGATGAAGGAAAGAAATGGATCTCGAAGAGAGGCTCGAGACTTGACACAGCAGGACATCCAGGCGCGTTACCAAAGAAAGCCTCTGTGTTTACAGCTCCAAACACTTTGTTATAGCGGCTTGTTGCTTGATTGCATAAGCACACAGTATCCTGAAATCTGTCAAAATGAGTCGTGTAGGCCTGCGACACCTAGGAAAAAAAAGTTGCTCTAGTGTTTGTGCACCACATGGCTGCGTTTCCTGCCGCAAGACAACACACTCTGGTAGAACTTCTGTTTTTATAGGAAGTGGCACAAGTGAAGATTTAAACTCACAGTTTGGTCCACGCCTACCGTGTTTGTGTATGTGGCCCTCCCCAGGGGGGGGCCACATTTGCTCAGTGGCTGCAGGTTTTCTTGGAGAGGAAAGTTATTTCTGGTCTACACGGGTTAGCAGTGATGTCACGAGCGCTTCCTCATCCTCCGGGCTCGGGTCAAGTTTAGCCCCAGAGATTCTCCTGAGTCTTTCCTGTTGTTCTGAGAGAGGTGCGGAGTCGAGCGATGTGTGTGGGGTGGGATGGGGAGAGGAGGAGGCTGTTGCCACCCTCCCCTTAATACAATGGTGGTTCTTTTGGATGACAGATGCTGCTTAACCCATCCTGACCCAGGGAGCTGCGATGCCTCATCTGAATGACAGGCCCACAGAGGACACACTGATGCTCTGCTGCTCACTGCCTGAGCTGCACAGGACACTGTACCCCCAACAAGGGAAGTAACTGTCTCTTTGGGCAACCCCCCACAGTAATATATGTCTAGCTGAGGAAAGCTTAACACTCTGAATTAAGGGTAGAAAAGGGCACCCACTTCTGCTATCTTGTCCTATTGAGTAAAATATTGAGACAAATTGAGTACTAAATCACTGTAGAAAAGAGTGGTATTGTGACAGTGCTTGAAAGCCTGTAGACTCTCCATTGTCATGAAGTCGCCTCAGCAGCAGCAGCAGTAGCTCTGGGCTGCATTTATCATCACTGGGGACTCAGGAGGAAAGAGACCGTGCCATCAGTTTGTCATACTTAACTTGTCTGTCTCCATTTGAGAAGACAGTGTAGACAGAACTAGCAGGCTCTGTATCACAGAGTTATTAGTATTACTGTCAGACAGAACAATATCTTGATGTTGTTGCTGTTGAGCTGCAGAATATTTGCTTCTAATGCTCTTAATTGGGTTTTGGGATACAGTCTAGTCTTTACACATTTAAAAAACAAACAAACCCATGAATCCTAATGTCTAAAGCACAGGGTGATGCTCACACTTTCAGGTTCCATGACTAAAATTCTTGTCATGATAGATCCAGATGGCTTTTGGAATACGGAGGCAGCCGATTAACACGAGCGTGAATTAGCAGCAACAACACAACAGCATTCAGCACATCTGAACAACTTAGCATCCCTCCCCGTCCCCCTCTCACTCCAAGCCTCCCTCAGAACACAGCCACTACCCATCACTGCCTCTGCAACACGAGCTTCCGTTCTCCCAGCTTCAAGAAGTACATTTGCACGCGTATATTTGAGTGCCTTGTTCTGACCTGCTTCCAGGTTCAGCCCTTACATAACCGCCGCCTTTTTTTTTCTCTAGGTGCAAAGCTGAGCACTCTGTCTGCTTCTGTTAAATCAAAGTTTGTGCCATACAGAGCTGGTTATTTCTTTTCAGAACACAGAGCTTGTCCTCTTCATGATCCACAACACTGAGGAGAAATATAGCATGTGCATTATTGTAATAGGCTTGAACATTATATACATCCCATCATGTATTTGTTGTGTGTGTGTTGTGGCTGTTGAAGAGAGGCAACACACTGACCTCGCTGAACAAAGAATTAAAAATATCACTTTTTTTTTTTAAAATAGCACTTTCCACTGAATGACCATGTGACATTACAGTAGCTGCACATTTTCTTTCCATCTTCCCAGTTAAAGTATACCTCTGAGTATTGAAATAATTCATTTGAAAATACTATATTTGCTGTTGACAAATAAATTAGTGCATAAATCTACGTCGGTATAGCAGTTTAGATCATTACACACTCAAGTTTGTAAAAACGAATATCTAAAAGCTTCACTCTGACCAAGTCTTCTCCTCCGTCTTTGACACCATCCGCTAGGTGGCACTGTGTCTGTTTGGTAAAAGTTCTCATGGATACCCCAAAGGTATAGAGCTGTATTAACACCAAATTCTCCCACTTCCCACAGTGTCGAGAAAAGATGATATGGTTTTCTCCTCTGACCAAAAAAACTCTCCACATTTGGTGAATGAAAGTGCGTTTTGTTACCAGCACGCTCCCTTTGTTCTAAATACCCGCTTGCCTTTGTTATAGTAACCTCACTGTGGGTTACTTAAGAATCTACAGACAAGAAAAACTTCCTTGTCTATTCACACCGGGATTAAATGCAGGAGGAAGGTCGTGTGGAATATATATATGTGTGTGGTTTTTTAAACATTTATTGTTCTTTTTGTAAGTTGGTAAGAAAAAACAAATGCACTGGATAATTAAAATCCACGAGAAGTACCGTGTCCAAGAGGTGTAAAATATCCCGAACCAAATACATTTATAAGCAAATATGTGAGCTGCACGCGTGAACACACATTCAGAATTACATAACACATAACACGAAATATATTTGAGAAAAGCCTCAAAAACACTGTGTGAAATATACTCAGATATGCTCTACTTCTTACAAATGTATTATTCGGACATTAGATGAGGTTGATAACCGCTCATACTCTGTTATGCTGTGACTTTTGTCTCAAAACACGAGTATGGGCTGTTCTGGCAGTTTTATGTCTTATCTTTGGATATGGCGCTACTTAACCTTACACAGATAGCCTAGGCTGTTGCAGGCCTCTAATTAACCTTTAAAAACAAATCAGGCTTATCTGTTCTTACAAAAATGTTGCCTTTTAAAGACTATAATGCTAAGAGAACAGTATTGATTTTCGGAACCGCGGCCCAATACCGTCCATATAATTTAGTTCAGATAGTCTTTTAAGGGGGATTTTTTTTAAATGTGGAATGAGGACAGTGTGATTGGCCGTCGAGGTGTGGATCGACACTTTATAATATTAGTCTGACTGACTTTTTATCCTTGCATCGAATTTCTGTCTGTATTTCCGACTAGGCGTCATAAATCAATCTACGGAGCTCAATACTGGGAAGTTTCATTATCCCTGATAGATTTCAGATTGAGATTTTGAATGTTTACGCAGTTGATTACACGTGAGAGCAAATCCAACCTTCGGATTATTAGCTCCGCACTAAGGATGCATACCAGTTCTTCTCAAATCATCGTCGTCATTACTATTATTTTAATGTAGGGCTAGAAAATCTGTGAACTCCTGCTTACTCGTCTAACCCCTTAGTTGGTGTGACTAGATCCTTTTACAGTCAGGCTTTCTGTCATTGCACTCTAGCGTAAACTGTTAAAAGCACACTGGATACTGCGTGGATCACTCTGTTTAATTCATAAAAAAATGTATTTGACCGTGAGTGGAGAGGTCTAAAGGAGCAAAGAGAACAGCATTGGGTAGAATTTAACTTCACGCAGTCTCATTCAGTTCATTTTCCCATTCCTTATCAGAATATAATTTTATGGTATACGCCAGTGTGGCAGAAAGTCTCTGTTATTTTTTATTAATGTTGTGTTTTCAGCCGCAATATCCCATCTAGTGCAAATCCCCACTTGTGCTTTCTTTTGGGGCAAAATATTACTTTTAAAGTCGAATTTACGCACACGCACGAGTTTACAATCGCTTTTACTCTGCGGACCACCTTAACAGCGTTTGTCCCGCCCTCAAGCTTTCCGTGTTCTCTGTGATTGGCTGAAATCTCGTGGATGGCAGTGGCTGTAGAAATGCAAAACTTGTTGCTGGTTCCTCTGGACGCGTTGATCTCACACAGCGCCAAGCGGTAGAGCGGACAGCGAGTGTATCTGTGAATCGCTCCCAAGTGCACTCAGACCACACCAGACAAAACTCGGTAAACGGAGGGGTCGCACGCATCAGGATCGAGACGCACGGAAAGGACTTTGGGACCTGCGCCTCGCTGCAAAGCGCATGACCGACAGTGGGTGAAGGATGCTGTCAAGCCACTCCGTAGTTGTGGAGTGCGGGTAGCGCGCGCCGTGCTGCTCCTCCGGCTTTAGGTCGCATAAACAGACGCCCCGGTTCACCCGCGGCTGGGCTGGAGAGTCGTGTTTGTGGACTTTCCATCACACTGGACTTTTGGCTACATGCCTGCTTGGCCGTTTTTGATGTTTTGAAGGACGTCGGTGGGCAGTATTTATTTAAAGAAAGATTTTCTTCACTCAAAGCCTGGA